TCAGTTCGCTTGGTTATCGGAGTTAGCTTCCCTGGCCCTTCATTGGCACCGGGAGACTCCTCACGCCCGTATGAGGGGTTGTTGCCCCATCGGAAGACAGCAATCTCTCCAGTCCTGAGTCCAATAGACATCTCGCCTGAGCTGCCGGCGAGAGACATTTCGGTCACCTCGATATTGCCGACTCGGCCTAGGGCACGGGCAAGATCAACTTGAACCACGTCGCCGTTCTCAATTTCATCATCGTGGCCACAGTCCCAGACACGGACGGTTCCATCTGCATGTGCGGTCGAAATAACATTGCGGTTCTCAAAGCGCTTGAGAGGGTTCTTCGCCTCCACGCCGCCCATTGCAAATCTGGGTCCCTGCGCCCGGCGCTCTCTCAGACCAAGCCACGCCGTCCGATCAACGGGGGTAAGCACGGCTTTGTTTACAAAGGGATGGACGAAAGTGAGGTACGGATGAAGCATGTTAGTGGGAGTGATTGTGTGTCCACTGGGGAAACTCAGAGTAATAATTTCACCTGACGATAACATAGCGATGAGGGCGATTGGGTCATGGGCACCATTGAAGTAGGGCGAGGATCGAGGGATCAGGCAAAGGTCGGCAACCTTAGCTCCCGGTGGGATAGAGAGGTTGATTTGTCGCCGTGGCCGCTCGAAATAAGTAGATAGAATTTGCCATGAGGATGTCTGATAATTGGGCGTCGAGCCCATGTCCAAGAAAACGAGGCCCTTGGTCTTATCACCTACTGGTCGACCACCAGCCACCAAAAGACCAGTGTCATCCGGGTTATCTTTGACGCACCAAATAACCTTTGTGACGGGCTCTTTGGGCCCAGCAGCCTCTCCAGGTGAACCTGGTCTGCCACCAGCACCAGGTTGGTCGACATTAGGTGTCTGGACAGTCCGGGCATGAAGCTTGCGCCCATCCTTTGTATCCCAGAGCACTAGACTCGAGTCTTCATGAACAGTCAAAACGAAGATTCCGTTGGGGTGCCAAATCGCGTTGGTCAATTTGGGTCTGCGCACGTCGTGGGATGGTAGGGAGTCCCCACCCGGTGCCCCAGGAGGGATTTCGTAAACAAAGTACTTTTGAGCAAGATTTTGTTTGAATGTAAATGTCACTGCTCCCTCTGGATATCCCACTAGGATCTTGCCAATGTCTCGAGGAGAGAACTCCAGAGATACGACGGGGAAGAACCGCGCGCGGGGGTTTTGTTCCAACCACAAGTTCGGAACTCTGAACGGCGTCAAGGACTCTCGATCGATATCGTACGCAATAATTTCACCTATTCGCAGGTCAATTTCCGGTTCTTTTCGGTTCCCTGATCAATTTACGGACCATTCTGCAAGCCGATAAACGCATAATCCAAGCAAGGGTCCGTTAACAAAGCGGTCACCTGGCCCGGTGGCGCATAGGAAACCACCATGCGTCCAGTCACCAAGGAGTATATGCAAATCTCATTCCTGGAGTCGATGCTGATTAGCTTGTCGGCGCAAAACTGAAGGAATCGGGCGGACGCCTTCCGCGGGAACTCAAAGACCACCGAAACTCGTCGTTGCCCAAAAACATAGATCTGGCCGCTGCCGAACTGGGTATCACTGGTGCCGACTGCAATGAGGGACTGTATCGGATCATATGCGATGGCACTAATCTGCGAGTTTACACCACATCGTGCGAACTGAGAACAGCGGTGTCAGTTGGGAAAAAGAGATGCCTGGGATGCCAAGAACTTACATCGTCCAGGATGAACAAGTCCGGGGACAAGCCCTCAGACAGATCCTTCTGGATACCAGCTTGCTTTCCTCGCAGGAATTGAGCCATCTGCGATCGAGGTGTAGCAGGTTATGGGAAAAGTGGAAATGGTCAAGTGCGGAGAGAGAATACCATTGACGCCATGCAGGAGCTAAACAACGGATCTGCCCCGCTCCGCCCTATCGCCCTATCAGTTCGGACTTGGCATTGAAGGCAGCTTGATTCTTCTCTCCCTCTCTCTCGGGGTCTTGATATTCTATAACACATAAATTGATATGAGAACAAATTTTATTTCGATTGGAACTCCTTGATAAAAACACCATATATATCAATGCAAAAAAAGATCAAAATTCCAAATCGCATGCAGCTATATAGGGCCGGCTGGAAGGAACCTCGCTATGCAACAGAACCAGTCTAATAGTATAGGTATCACGTTGGACATATAAAGCGCTCAGTCAAATAAGTTTGGCCCGTTATGCCAGTTTAAGTCTCGTCATTTCCGCAATCGTGGTTGTCAATCGTCTCCGCGCATCAAATTCGCTCGTCTCGTCTCGATTTCGATAATATTGCACAGTGATTTGGGACACCAGCCGGTAGCACGCATACCTAGGTTAAAAAAAAAAAAGAGTTAGCAACAACGCACAGGAAATGAGACAGTAGACAGTATTCATTCACATACAACACTAGCCGGATATGTTCCTCCCTTGTCCTGGACATCGCCATCCCTGCTCCCTGCAAGACCGCCGGGGATGCATTCGCAAATATCTCTGCCATCAACACATCACCCCACACGGCACTGCTGAAGTCCACGACGCCAGATAACTGTCCCGACTCTTCGTTTACCAAGACGTGGGAGGGTCGACCAAAGTCCACGACCACAAGACGTGGCAGCGAAACATCTTCAAGAGCAGGTGCCAGGCGACTGAGTTCGTGTCGGATCTCCGAGTAAGGAAGGTGGATGAACATGTCCTCGGCGTCGCGAAGGATGCCTTCAAACAGAGCACAGAAGGCCTCTCGCCAGGAGGGTCTTCCAGCGCCAAATGCCACTTGCTGCAAAGAGCCAAACCCAGGGGCCGCATTTTGACCGATGGCGCTCACTAAGAAGCCCAAATGGCGGTCGATACCGTCGCGTTGCTGGGAGGTGAGCTCGCCTTCCATCTCTGCCAGACTTTTCCCTTTCATATACTGTCGGATCAAGTAGGCAGACCCCCAGAGTCTTCCATGAGGATCATAATAGTAGAGCTGGGGGATACAAGGGTTTGCACTCTGTGCTAGAAGGGAAAGGAACTGGGCTTCGGTTTCGAGGAATGACCGCTCACGTCGAAGGAGAGCGGTCCTTGATGATGGAGACCCCTTGAGCAACAAATGAGCTCCATTCGACAGCGTTAGCAGCCGCAATGAGTGCATGTGGCCGAAAATTGGATGCGAGTGTTGCACACGGACCGTGGAAGGAAACAGCAGCGAGAGGACATCATCCAGTCTATGGTGTTCGTCTCCCTCGGCGGCACGACACTGCGGATGAAAAGATTCGCTGTCGTTTGTCCCCTTGAGTGATGGCATCGCAGGCCATGTTTTCAAGTTAAGTTGTTGCATCCTGATCTATTTGGTAGGGGTGATTGGCGAATAGAGGGGGAATGCTATATAAGCAAGGCTAGCTAGGTACGACTCATGAACCTTGGAAAAGATATTGACAGGGGGTGACGTATGAACAAGGTTATCGCGAATCATAGACCTTGCGAGGCGAAGACGAATATATGCCGAGGAGATAATACTCCCAGCAGATATGGCGCAAATCTCGCTTCTAACACAGAGAATACACGCAAAGAATCCATAATCGGAGTACGGACTACTCCTTGGGGGTTGAATATCAATGGGGCAAACTAGACCGCCATGATCGTCTATTTTGTACGTACGTAACCCGCAGTAGAAGCACAGTGACAACGTGTTCTCAGCGCCATGACTCTCGCTTCTAGGTTTATCCACGCGAGATACGACAGAGAAGCCATACATATGTAGTTATCCGAGGTTGAAGATAGACAGCGGAGTCAACTAAGAATATGTTTTGCTAGTGAAGTATTCACAAGCGAGAGTACGAACAGCTAGTATCACATTGGCTCACGGGTAATAAGAAATATGGGAACAAGTAAATTAAGGGAAGCCATCTCGCCTAAGGATCCCGCTCTAAGAAAGTTGATCATCCGAGCACTGGACCTCTTAGCCAATCACAATCGTCCCTTGCCGAATTCTTCCCGTGGATCCAGAATTATACTCTTTCTTCTCCTTTTTCACGTTGGACTTGGACGGCCCCGGGGGTGAATAGACCGGTTTGATAATCCATCCATGGATCCATGGATTCTATTTTCTGGGACTGCCATGGAACACTCCCAAGATCCAAGCCACCGGAGATTTTCTTTGAATTATATGACTCGTATTACAAATACCTACTTTCCGAAGTAGACCGTTGGATTTGCGTATAGCTCCGTTTTCTGCTTCATAATTCTTTTTGGCTCTCATTGAATTGCCTAGGTACCTAGGTATGGAGTTGATTCGTCCATGCCGCCGGGACCCATGGACCCGTGAACAGCTTATGACTGCATGAACCCAGTCGCGGCCCGGGGTTTCAGGGCCTTTACTCCGTAATGTAGCATCTTCCAAGGCTAGTTACAGGAGAAGATGTGATATGTGGTAAAGACTGGAGGTTTCAACATCAAGTAGTGTGCTTTGGTGTGGATGCAGTTGATGTCGTGTCAACTAGTTATATATATCTCCACTCCAGCTTCCTAGAGTATTTCGTTTATTCTTCCAACCTCCAAAACGACGAAACAATGCTCAAGAACGCTAAAGAAGCGTATAAGATATACATATGTAACAACACTCTAGTTAATGATCTTTGATTCTTCCAACAATAGTAGATTAGTCGCGGAAAACTCGACAATAATGTCAAGTGGAGAAGATTTCCCGACTAACATGATTGTTTACGGGTAATTTGAAATTTGCATGGATCATACTTTTGACACGAACCCCAATATCGAAGATGTCGCACTTGGAGTTCATCCTGCATCCAATCCATCATATACTATTTGGATACTTACGCCGAATGACTGGCTTCCTGGCCTTTTTGAGATACCTTTGTTGAATCGCAAGGACAGAAGAGAAAACGACTAGTAACATGGGTCATAGTATGTATAAAAATATCCCACTGAAGTAATTTGGTTTCTACTGTGGAAAGTACTATGCTATTGGTACTAAGCCTTAGATTCAGTGGCCGTGGCTGCTGGCTCTTCTTTTGGCGAAGGATCGTAGATTTCAGCCAAGTTGAACCGCTTCAGCTTGTCGTAATCACCTTGCACTACACTCATTCCAACCACATTCTGCGACGAGTCAGCTAAAGATTTAGTATGATAGGGTTCATTTTCTGGTACTCACTTGGGCAACATCGACGAGGATCATTAAATCATAGTTCGTCAAATTCACCGGATGCTCAGGTCCGACAGCGTCAGCAACAGTCTTGATAATACTGTCACGCTTGAGCTTCGAATTGCCTCGCACAGTAGGCCGAATGGCGTACTAAATAAATGACAAATCAGCAATGCTCAAAGTATATTTCCCCTCACAGCAACGTGGATGATCGGATCATTTCCCAGATCAGTAGTATCTTTGACTGCCCAAAAGCCCAAAGAGGGAAGGTAGGGGGCCTTAAACTCACCGTCTTCGGCGGCCCTCCTGAATGGAAATGAGGCTTGAGAATCTCTTTTGCGAAAGCCGCTAGATCCACACTCAAAGTCTTCCGCATTGACGTGACTGGATGCATGCGCTTAATCCACCGGCTCTTCTTAGTCTCCGGGTGGGCATGTGCTTCGGTACACAGACGGTGTACAAGCTTGACCGGGTCTATTGAGGGATCAAGACGCATGAATGTCACTATCAGGGATTAGCACCAATCAACGGTTGCAAGGGCCGAGGCAATAAGCGAAATGGCGTTTTTCTTTTGAGATAGAGAGAATACAACGTAATCCATAATCATCAACTTACCACACGGCATTTCCATCTGCATGGGCTCGAATTGACGACGTTTATCTTTGTTGGGCTGTAAGCCCTCCAGTTCCCTTCGGATCTGGGCCTCGATATCTTCATCATCAGTATCATGCTCCTCTTCCACTTGATTTTCAGTGCCCTCAATGGCCTAGATAAAAAGTCAACAAAACCGTAGGAATCACCGGTGTGAGAAAAGGGAAAAGAAAAGTCATCCCACCTGAGAAAAAAATATCCACTGCCTCAGATAGACATTTCCCTTCTCTGCCCATATCGCATGTCAAAAAGACACCCACATCGCCAGATTCAATAGCGACGCGACTTTTCTGCGGGCCATATTTTCCACCACCACCCTTTAATCCCATTAGTTAGTGGTCTAGTAATCAAAGATATAGAAACTAACCCTTTTCTTCTTTGAAGCGCGATTTGATTTGTCAGGCATAGCTCTTTTCCCCATTTAGACAATCCAAGCTTTGATATGCCAGGATGGTGGTCTGAGGTGGTGGGGGTGGGAGTTTTGTGTGATCGGCCGGGAGATGGCTGTGATTGGGTTTAGCCGGGTTTCAACAACAGATGCTTATTATATTGTACATCGTACTATATATTTTATATGCGGTATATATATTATTGTTTAGATATCTTTTGAGGTCTAGGCTCTAAATAACATATATAACATACAACATACAACATATAACATCTGAACACAACATCCAATATCTCATAAAAATAGTAAAGTGGTATGACATCAAATCAATGACGTAGCTAAGTGGTCTCACCTTTGGCGCCATCAGGGAAGTACAAGTTGACAAGTTGATGTAGTCCTGTTTTATATAACACCTCTTCATCCCTCAAGTATTACCTCTCTCACCCATTTCATTCTTATCTTTCTATCTATCTCTCTACCAAACACATCAATTCATCATGGCAACTACCGATATTGCCACCAGGGAGCTAGAGAATCCCATCGATGTTACCGAGTACTTATTCCGCCGTCTCTATGAGGTTGGAATCCGTTCAGTGCACGGTGTACCCGGTGACTACAATCTCGCAGCATTGGATTACCTGCCTAACTGTGATCTTAACTGGGTTGGAAACTGTAACGAACTTAATGCCGGTAAGATAGGCTTTACTACGAACGAACAATTTGGATCTAACCATAGTCCCTCTTAGGCTATGCTGCAGATGGCTATGCTCGTGTGAACGGTATAAGTGCCCTTGTCACCACATTTGGTGTCGGAGAGTTGTCTGCCCTCAATGCCATCGCAGGCGCATACTCCGAATTTGTCCCAGTCATCCACATCGTTGGCCAGCCCACCACCCAGTCTCAAAAGGATGGAATGTTGTTGCACCACACTCTTGGAAATGGAGATTTCAATGTCTTTACCAAAATGAGCGCGGGTATCTCCTGCTATGTCGCACGTCTGAACGACCCTCATGACGCAGCCACTCTGATCGATAGTGCGATTCGTGAATGTTGGATTCGCAGTCGTCCGGTGTATATCACTCTGCCAACCGATATGGTCGCTGCCAAGGTCAACGGTGATCGCCTGAAGACCCCAATTGATCTTGCACTGCCTAAGAATGACCCGGAGAAGGAGGATTATGTGGTCGATGTTGTCCTGAAGTATCTCCATGTCGCAAAGAACCCTGTCATCTTGGTTGACGCCTGTACCATTCGTCACCGCGCACTAGAAGAAGTGCGCGACTTGGTGGAGAAGTCTGGCCTACCAACGTTTGTGACTCCGATGGGCAAGGGAGCCGTGAACGAGGATCACAAGAACTTCGGCGGTGTCTATGCTGGTAACGGGTCTAATGCTGGAGTCAGTGAGGCCGTTGAGTCCTCTGACCTCATTCTGAGTATTGGAGCGATCAAGTCCGATTTCAACACTACCGGTTTCACTTATCGTGTTGGAAAGCTGAACACCATTGACTTCCACAGTACCTTTGTGAGAGTGCGGTACTCAGAGTATCCCGATATCAACATGAAAGGTGTTCTGAGGAAGGTTGTTGAGCGGATGAACCCTCTGACCCCTGCTCCTATCCCTCTGATCACGAACCGACTTCCCGAAAGCGAACAAGTCTCTAACGATCAAACCATCACCCACAAGTGGCTCTGGCCGATCGTCGGACAGTGGTTAAAGGAAAAGGACATCGTCCTTACGGAAACTGGCACTGCTAACTTTGGTATATGGGAAACTCGCTTCCCCGCTAACGTGACTGCCATTAGCCAAGTTCTTTGGGGTAGTATTGGATATTCTATGGGGGCCTGCCAGGGTGCTGCTCTCGCTGCCAAGGAGCAGGAAGACCGCCGAACCATCCTCTTCATCGGCGATGGAAGTATTCAACTCACTGTGCAGGAACTCAGCACTATCCTAAGGAATAAGCTGAACCCTATCGTGTAAGCATCCCAATCAGCCCATAATTCCCATCTCATAAACTGACCATCTCCAGCTTTGTTATTTGCAACGATGGTTACACTATCGAGCGATACATCCACGGATGGGACGCAAGTTACAACGACATCCAGCCGTGGGAATTTATCAACATTCCCAAAGTTTTCGGAGCCAAGGACAACTACCAAGGCTACCGTATCAAGACCCGTGACGAACTCAACCAGCTGTTCGCTGACGAGAACTTCAACGTGTCTGACAAACTTCGAGTGAGTATCAACACAAAGAAGTCTCAAATTCTCTGCTAACGTACTATCTAGCTGGTCGAGGTGTACATGCCCCGCGACGATGCCCCTGCGGGCTTGAAGTTGACCGCCGAGGCCGCTGCGCATCGCAACAACGGTAAATAAGCTATTCGAAGCGCGAGAACATATTATGCTTATTATCATAATGTCACGATGCACATGGAAACAGCATCATATCTGAATTCTGGATTATCTGGGCCTTGGCAGTTTGTTTTCTATTTTCAGGGCGTTTTCTTTGAAAAAGGGTGGCCACATACCGGCTGATTTAATAACGATCGTTTGAGTAGCACGAACATCTCCGCTATTTACTCACGAATTACAATGAAATCTTCATACTATTAATACTCTACCAGCGTCTGGCGTTGATCTATCAAGCTAGAAAGTACATGGGGATATGCAAATTGCAGAGCCAACCCATCGTCCTCAGGTAGGATAGCGCCACCTATAATGTTGAAATACCTAAGCATCTTGTGTTCCAAGCTTAAGCTGCATAAACTGCAAAGCCACATGGCTTGGGTTATCTGATCTGTTCATCTCGGGCACTTTCGTGCACTAACTAACCACCTGTATCGATGGATGTGCAGTGGTAAAGGCTAGCTTCCATAATGGAAAAGTACTAAAAGTTCTCTTTAATTGATCCATATATAGTTGAACTCCCGGACCGTCCATTTTATTTCCTCTTCTTTCTCTTATTACTACTTTGTGATGGTCGTATACAACCTCGATGTTACGATGACCCGCTATACGACAGCGATATCCACAGTGGAATCTTGTTTCTGGTCGGATCCTCAGCCTTGCCGGAGAGTGCTAAGGACCAGTGGCCTACCATTTACGCGAGCAAGGAACAGACCAAGGGTACTGCTCTCTAGATCTGGAGATATAAAGTCTCAAGGTTTAGACTCGGGTTCTTTTGTACAACAGATGGGGAAACTTGATGTGTCCAATTGTGGATGTTTATGACTTCTCAAAAATAATCTTCATGGGTATTCTGTTGGGCTACTAGCGCGATATAATTTAATTTATCATGCCTTTTTTTACTCTACTTTTTCGAGTGACAGACTTTGAGCTCTAGTATAAGTACGGAGTACTCCGTAGAGGGCCTGCTCTAATGCGAGCTATAGGGGTACACTAAACCATGGATGTCTCATCCAACATTTCTAGAGAGCAGGCCAGAAATGAAAACAGACGCCACAGGGCTGTTATTGGCGCGCAACGGGTGCTAGGTGTTCACGGGCCACCGAAGGTGAGATTAGGAGATTTCAGGGTCTTGGAAGGGGTCTGGAGGGTATCCCATGCAGAAAAGGTTGAAACGTATGTTATACTGTTCTTTCTTTCTTATTGTGTACTGTGTTCTAGATACTCAGGACGACTGCAACTGCTAGTTAGTTGTAACCCTAAAAACGAAGAGAACGTAGAACGTTGCCACGTGACGATCCTTCTCCAGACATCAAAGCAATATAAACGCCATTTCACACGCAGTTTGATATATATTATCCCTTTGAGAATTCTCGGTGAGTTTCATTTGAGTTCCATTTCCTGAAATACGTCGGAAGTAAGGAGTTGTGGTGTTTCGTGTTCGCTTCCACTTGCTTGGATTTCATTCGACCTTTTTTTTTATGATCTTCCAATCTTCCCATCTTCCAATCTTTCGACCCAATCGCATCAGCCCTCTAAAACCCTTGGGAGCTATTTGGCAGGTGACTAACCATGTACTGAGTTTAGAAGACTTTTTTTCTTCTTCGTTTGAGTCGATTATTGAAATTCTCTTGGCTTTGTACCAGCCCGTCGCGCCATCTCGGTCTGTTCCGCAATCCCAAGCGCTGCGATAACATCCGCGACGCCCAACCGAACCATGTCAACCCGCGCACTGACGACCTAACTTCAACATTCATTTCTGCCTTTACGAAGCATTCAACGAGACCGAATATCCAGTTCTCAAATCCGACCGTCTGTTTGGTGCCTGGGATGTGTAGCATGATGCGTTAATGATCATACCTAAACAAAACCGAAAATCACATCTGCCCAAACGCCACCCTAGACGTCGCAGTCGAGACAGCGCGATATAACTACCAAGAGGCAGATCCAGTGTATTGGCTATCACGATGGATGGACGTCAGCAGTATGTCCCGGGGCCCCCGCCTTCCTCTCAAGCGCAACACATGAACCTGCCTCCGCCTCCGCCTCGACACCCACAAGCCCAAACGATGGTCCCACCTCCTCCTCCTGGCCCACCTCCAGGGACGACGTATGGAGCTCAAACAGGGTGGCAGCAAAACTGGGGCAGACCGCCGCTGAATCCAGGTTTCCCACCGCCGCCACCTCTTGCCCCCGCACCAAACCAGCATCTAACATACGGTCGCCCACCAGCTCAGTTGTCAATAATTCCTCCGCGTCATGACCATCAGCCTCTGACATCCGCAACTTATATACCCGGGAACGATACTATTGGCGTTGGAATTCCAGGGTTGTTCGACCCTCATGGAAGAGCTGCTCCATATGATCCATATGCACACACCAATGCCGAGAGACAACGGTTGGGTCTCAGCCAAATGCATGATCATATCAATACTTCCATCCCGTATAAAACAGACCCAGGCCTTCCCCATACCCCAGGTGGCCGCAATATTTCTTCGCCCTACGCTCTTCATGGCAACATTCATGAATTAACGTCCAACGATAGTCCGCAACAGCAGGCGACAGCTCAAACCACCGAACTTACCAAAACTACAAGTCACCGCCACAATCCCAGCGGTACTTCGCTGGGTGGTTTATCTCACAGTGAAGCTGCGATACAGTGGCCATTGGATCGCGTGCTCCTCTGGCTTGCGAAGAATGGATTTTCCAACGATTGGCAGGAAACATTCAAAGCCTTGGAGCTCGAAGGCGCTGACTTTCTCGAGCTTGGACATGGATCTGGTGGGCGAGGAAATCTTGGAAAAATGCATCAAGTGGTCTATCCTCAATTGGCAAAGGAGGTCGGCCGGAGTGGCAAAAAATGGGAACCTGGCCGGGAACGAGATGAAGGAAAGCGTATGCGCAAATTGATCCGTCAAATCCATGATGGTTCGCAAGACTATACCGTCTCTACACCACTGAATCAGACGCAGCCGCCGGCGACTGCGTTCCCTGACAACAGTGCATCTTACTTCTCTAATAATTTTTCCGAGCCACGCTCTGCTGGCCCTATCCCTGGAGTCAATGATGTGAGTCCGGATCATCTGAGTGCATTGCACGCCTCCAACCACGGCCAAAAGCAGCCTGGGCAACGTTCGGTTACCATGCCGGTCCCTGCTGGCCACGATTCGCCGAGATACAATGACTCTCCTGCACGAGAAAATTGGATGCGAGCTGACCAATTGCGGTCCGAGTATACCCGCACCGCCTTGTCGGGGATAAACACCGACCATCGACGCCAGAGTCCGTCCATTGGCAGTGAATCGGGCACTTTTCAGGGATCGTCTCTTCGGCCCCACGAAGACAGTCCAATTAGTGGTAGCCCGGCCCTGCAACATGCATCGCCCGCTTATACAGGAGCTTTTTCATCATCCACTGGGGATCTGACGTTGAGACAGTATGATCACTCTCGGGGCAATAGCACTGAGTCGATCTCCGGATTCGGTCGGGGCGCCACAGGCCGGTACTATGATTCACGTAGACAAGGCCAAGAGTATGATGCTCGGAGGCAAGGCCCAGAGGGTGCTCGTCCCTCGCCTCAAGATGCCTCGTCTTCGTACTCTAAAGAGCACAAAGGCTTTTTCTCCAATATTTTGAAGAAGAAGACGAAAAACCAGCCATCCGCTGATCAGCAACATGAAGACTCGTCACCTACGACAAGCCCGGAAACTCGCCCAAATGAGGCATATCTCCCTTATATAAAGCCTTCTTACAACTCCAGCGACATGTCGGTCGGTGAGCGTCCATCCACAGCGACCACAAAGACGAAAAAATGGGTATTTGTCACCACGGATGGCTTGAACTTCCGCTTGATTGACATCTCCGATCTGGACTCTTACGAGTCATTGCGTAACGGGATCTGTGAAAGCCTCGCGGTCGACCCGACCAACGCTCAGATTTACCTCACTCAGCCCGGGCAGAGTGAGCATGAGGATCCTATGAGTGACGCAAACCTCGCACAGTCGCGTCGAAGCAAGTCAGATGCATATGGTTCTCTCAAGCTGTTTGTACGAGGGACTCCTATGCTTCCCATTCCATCTAGTACTACTCGAGTCGATGGCTTGGGAGTTTCATTCACAGACAAGTCCAATATGTCACCCACAGCAACACACCACCAGGTGCACAGGAAGCCCTTGGACGAAGATGCCCTCAACAGGTTATCACCGCATCGCACCAGACCAGAATCTCCATTGTTGGGCTCTCGGCAAACCACTCTCAAGGCTTCGACAGGGAAGGCATCCTCGGCAGAGCCTGTACAGGACGCAGCCCAAGCTCTTGGGTCTGACCAGTCCGATTTGCTCGCTCGCCACGAGGAGCATCTCCGCGAAGTTGAGCGCAAACAAAAACATTATTTGCAATCCAAAATGCCGCAGTCTCAGCAGAATAAGAATGCCTACAGTGACACCGGGTACAGGCGAAACGAGATCATTGACTTTGACAGTCCTCGTATCTCGCCTTATGATGAAAAGAAGGGGGATTCGCTTGTACCACTTCGCAAACCTCCAACAGCGCCAATCGAGTCCAACACTCTTACCAAGGTCAATTCTCTCAGCAGGAGACCCACGACTCGTGAGAACCGTGAGAACCGTGAGAACCGTGACAACCGGTTGCAGCCGTCCTTGGGCGCAGCAATTGCCAGCGTTGGCCGCATAACAAGTGCCGTTGGCACGCCGTTGCCTTCGGTGCCGGCTACATCTAAGCCTTCACCCAGCACTCAAGACAGTGCAAGCTCCGAGTCTGAGCGACCAGGATCATTTGATTCTACTGGAACATTTTCGAGTAGAACAACCCTTGGTCAGTATATGCATGACACAGCGAGGCCTGATCGATCTCCCGCTGACTACGCTTCAGACTCTTCGAGGCCCACCTCGAAGATGGGCACGGAACACGAGAAACCCCCAGTCTCGTTTGCCAATCAATCACCCGAGAAGCCTGTTTCTGAAGACCCACCGAGACCAAGGTTGCAATCTCGCAAGTCGTTTGGCCCAGAGTTCGACTTTGAAGAGAATCAAGTATCCTTCCAGCGGACTCCTCAGCAGCAACAGGACTCTGACGACGACTCTGATGATGACTCGGACGATGGCCTATTCCAAGTCCGACCTTCAAGGGCCCAGGAAGAGCAGAGAGAAGCGCAAGCTGAGGCCGACAAGAAGGCGGAGAGGCCATCGCTCACTGTCAACACAAAAGATCAGTTAAGATCAAAATTGTCCGTCAGGTTCAAATCTCCAAGCACTGCCGGTCCCAGTTCTAGCGGAGAGGCATCTGATGGGAAGGAACCGGTGTCTAGTACCTGGGGACCAGTCTCGCCTGAAGATGAGAGACCTGGACCACTACGGCGGGAATCATTTGCCCGAGATATCTGGGCAAGCAGACCTGCTGTCGAAGGCGTTATCGACCATCTCGATGACTTCTTCCCTGACGTTGATCTTGACGCTCCTTACTTGGATGAGCCCTCATCGCCCAATACCAAGGCTATCAGTGAACATGACGTGAAAAAAGAGGCCCCGCCACCTATGCCGCATACAACCCATGCGCCTGATACAGCTCCGATGAGACCACCTGAACCTGCCAATTTTGCTCGACAGAAACTTGCTCGTAATGCAGGTGGTGGCGGCGGACTATCTCGCATGAAATCCATTCGACAGGTGGCCCAGGGAGCAAACCGAACGAACAGCATTAGCAACGCTGGTCCTCAAAAGTCGGGTGATCTTCTGCGCCGAAAGAGTACCAAGATGTTCGGCGCCAAAATTATGCAAATCAGGCCCAGGCCAGGCACCCGGCTTAGCCAACTCGATCCGATCCCTCAAAATAGCACCCAAGTCGTGTCCAATACCGGGCCTGTTCCTCAGCGACAACCCACTTTCCGCATCATCCGTGGTCAGCTCATCGGCAAGGGTACTTATGGTCGCGTATACCTAGGCATGAACGCAGACAATGGTGAAGTCTTGGCTGTCAAACTGGTCGAGATCAACCCCCGAATTGCAGGGGCAGACAAAGACCGTATCAAGGAGATGGTCGCCGCTCTGGACCAGGAGATTGACACGATGCAGCACCTCGAACACCCCAACATCGTACAGTATCTTGGATGCGAGCGAGGTGAATTCTCTATCTCTATCTACTTGGAGTATATTTCTGGTGGGTCTGTCGGAAGCTGTCTGCGCAAGCATGGCAAATTCGAAGAAAGTGTCGTGAGATCACTGACGCGGCAAACCCTGGGCGGACTGGCATATCTGCACGATAAGGGAATCCTCCACCGCGACCTGAAAGCAGACAACATCCTCCTAGATCTTGATGGCACATGCAAGATCTCCGACTTCGGTATCTCCAAGAAGACAGACGACATCTACGGCAACGACTCATCCAACTCCATGCAAGGCTCTGTCTTTTGGATGGCCCCGGAGGTCATCCAGTCCCAGGGCCAGGGCTACAGCGCCAAGGTCGATATCTGGTCCCTTGGCTGTGTGGTTCTGGAGATGTTCGCAGGCCGTCGACCATGGAGCAAGGAGGAGGCCATAGGCGCCATCTTCAAACTCGGCAGTCTGAGCCAGGCTCCACCGATTCCGGATGATGTTTCTATGAACATTAGTCCCGCCGCTCTTGCATTCATGTACGATTGCTTCACAATGTAAGTTTTCATGCATCGCTTTTTCGGACTTTTATTTCCAGAATTTTCTTTTACTAACATCTTCCCAGTGACTCGGCTGAACGTCCTACTGCCGGAACCCTGCTCACCCGCCATCCCTTCTGCGAGTCCGATGCGAACTATAACTTCCTAGACACGGAATTGTATGCGAAGATTCGCCATGTTCTTTGAGTTCCCTTGGTTTGATTTTGCTTGTTTCGTTGGATTCGGAGTAACTTCACGTTTTGCGTTTTCTCCTATCGACAATACATACCCTTTTTTTTACATGCTTCAAGCGAGATTTGTTGCCTGGATCCTTCCGGCTTTCTGAACAGCTGTATATACCTTTTCTGACAGTTGTGAATAATAACATTTACAGGGGGAACTGGATTATTCCTTCTTTACTGTCTGGTTGTGATATAATACGATACTAGCAGGAATTGCTGTCAGGAGTAGCACGGATTTATATAGTTCTTCAGCTTGTACATGTACAAAAGTGCTCAATTCAACATGGTATCTATGCTCTAAAAGCGGATATTAAAAAAGATCATTAGAACGAATCCAAATCCTAAGAGCTGGTGCTTAGGAGATCGTCATCGTCCTCGGGGATATCAGCCTGCAACCCAGCGACGCCGACACGGAACACACCTTCGCACCATTCGGCAAAGGTATTAACATCCCAGACAGCATCATCCCGGCCTTTCCCTTTCTTACTAACGAAATTGCCCTTCGCCTTCTCGGAGGAAGTATATTTCTCAAAGAAATCCTCATAAATTTGAATAGTGCGGTCCTGGACCGCTCCAACAAGCGTCTCTTTCATACGCGTGTCGTCGATATACGCATTCAAGACCTTACGCAGACCCGGCACCTCCTTCTCGATAGTGCGGCAAGAAGGAAGGATAAGTTCGCCGCGGGCCAGATTGCGAGAATCAACGAATTGAGCCGGCAGCGAGGCGGTCATGCGAGCAGCAAATGCATTGATGAAGTCGTTGATTACCGTGCGAAGGCGACCATCCAACTCGACTTTCGCGTCCAGCATGTTCTCAACGACGCGCGGGACGAGGCCGTGGCCGACGAGGCGCATCAGGTTACGTGGGTTGAAGAGGCCGCCGCGCTCGCGCAGCTCCCAGAATGTACTTGTCATGCCGGAAAAGTCGAAGGAGATATCGGCGGAGACGTATTCGATGTCGAAGGCGACGATTTGTTGTTTTAGGATTAGGAGGTGGCTCATTAGGAAGAGTTGACTGTCGGCTGGTGTGGCTTTGGCGGAGATTAGGGTGCTGGCGTTTTGGAGGGAGAGGGTGGTTTGGTGTACGATTTGGTGGGCTAGGTCGTCGAAGACGGTGGACTGAGATGGTCAGTATAGGTGGGCGGTTGGGGCTGTTACGGGGAGGCATATTACATTTACTAGGCGGTATATCCGACTCAGGAGCCAGATTGCTTTTCGCAGGGTTGGATACCAGCCCTTTAGGGCGGTCTGGGTCTCGAAGTCCCATTTTCCGTCTGTCTCCTGTGTAGATTCGCCTGCGTCATCGCCTTGTTTGGCCGTCATGTCGATTAGTGTATCCGCAGATGTGTCTTTCTTGCCCGATATCTGAGTGTCTGACACAGTCAGAGATACCTGTCGGTTGCGCATGGGATAATCGGTATCCTCTGGGCGAGGTTTATATCGTTCAATTTCGTCGCGCAGAACCGCGAGAGCACGGAAGACAAGTCGGGCCTGGACGTCTTGCAGAGCGGGCTGGATCAAAATAGAAAAGTCAAGATGGTTCGTCTCGACTTGTTCGGGTTCTTCTTCTGGGTCTGAGAAATAGCGAGTCTGTAGTAGATTGCACAGCTGACATAGCTTGACGATATCAGACTCGTGGATAATCCGTGGACGAAGGTGATCATAAAGTGGTTCACATAGCGTCTCAAGGAAGTCATACAACCCTCCTTGTCCATGGAACCATTCTCCCCATAGATCATATTCGTCTAGGCACAGACCACGGATATAACTGATACTAGCTCGGGCAAAGGCAACGAGGTCCTTGGACGAACTAGGCGTCTGTGTGATTTCGCCGAGTTTTTTGCGAGCAAGCGGAATGATCAGCTTTACACGGGTAGCCGAGTAATTGCTGTGCAGCTCGTTCATCAGACTTTGATACTCTGCTTCGTTATTCTGATCTGGGTTAAGCGGTGGCACAGCTCTCTTTTGAATCTCGACTCCAATCTGCTTCAGCTCAGGTGCTCCAACCCTGAACTTGGCGTACAGGAGAGCCGACAAGGCTGTGTCGTTCAACTGCTGATCCGAAATCTTTTTGGAGACATTCTGGTAAATATCCTTGAGTGAAGATACAAAGTTGCCGCGGATAAGCGTCAAGGCACGCGTTAGCAGTAGTCGGTATCTCGAGCGATAGACTTCTGCCTCTTTTTGATCCGGCTGCGTAGAGGTAAGAGACAGGCGCATAAATATCCACAACGTGCTCACTCACATGCGTTTCCATGTAATCCAAGCACACGTCCAGATGCCTCAACATATCTGAGAATTCCTTGTCGCGAACTGTATTCCCCGCGCCGGGAGCATTCAGCCGCCGCGATGCAGGGTCTAAGAAATCGTAATAGTGGAGGTTGTTCTGAATGCCATTCGCAAGTTTTGTATCTCGTTCCTGGGCAGACAAAAGCCCTTGGCATTGTTTCTCGAAGTTCGATGTTTGGGTCTCGACCGATTTGAACGATTCGGACAAGCTTGATAGGTCATCCAGAAGGGTCAGGGTGTTCGTTAAGATTTCGTCAATGTGCTCTTTCGATTGTTCAAGTTCATCCAAGCAATTCCTAAAGGAAAGTAAATTAGTACACCTCCGATAGCCGTCCGATGTCGATCATACTGGTACTCGTCATAGCTCTCCTCAATCAGGTCACCCTTGACATCATTAAGCCATTGCGAAAATTCAAGTTCGTTGGTCCATCCTGGAGTTTTCCACTCAGAAGTGCTGGGTGACTTTTCGTCCAATGCTTGGAGGCTTGATTGAATTTCTTTGGCGGTGGGTTTGCGCGGCGGGCCAGAGGGGGCGGTTTGGCGGCGGGAGCGCTGCTGCTTTGTGGAGGACATGGTGCGGTCAAGGCCCGGGGAGTATGATATGATTCAACCCGCAGCTCATTTCTCTCTATCGACTTTATCTAGAGTGAATTTCAGGCCAAGTTAGATGTTGAGGTCCAACTGCGATGTGGTCAACTCCGAGATGGATTCTGCCGATGGCTCCCGCCTGGATGCTGCAACAAATCACAGGCGCGGCATTGAGAGCTTCCCCGGATATAACCTCACCTTTGCAGCTTGATTATGTGCTATAGCTGGTGATCCAGCCATCATCCACAATGTTGAAAAACCAAATGCGACGACCCACGACGCACTCCATCCTCGCTTTTCGTCCCCTCAGAAACTCGACCGCTAAGTCACTAAATGCGCCATGGTCCCGATTTGCTAGCAGTCAATCGCAAAAGCCAGGCCCGTCATCGCACTGGATCCGCAATTCTCTCGGATTTGCGGTGACAGGAACTGCAGCCTTTTTGGGATACTCATACATAGCTGATGGTGGAAAGGAGGCTTGGATGAGTAGCCCGGAGGCTACGAAGAAAGAGCCCGTTGATGTCAATGACCTCCAAGCTCAGTTCATTCAAGAAAAGCGGAGCCTGAAAAGTCCCGCCGTCTACACATGGGGCTCGAATGTTTATCGTGTGGTGGATCCGGGATCCAAAGATACCGACATCAAGACTCCTCGGCGCTTCAAATACTTTGACGGCCAGGTGCTGAGAGATCTCAAGCTCGAGGAAAAGTCAGGTGCAGCAATCACCGAGAACGGAGATCTAGTTCAATGGGGTCAGGCGTACTCCGAGTCGGACTTCAAACCCACGGTGACTCTGACCGGCAAGAATCTCACCTCACTCGCTCTGTCTGAAAGTCGAATCATCGCGCTGTCCTCGGATGGGACTGTATACTCACTGCCCACCTCCAAGGACGGACAAAGCACCGGCCCAAAGACAACCGAAAGCTCATGGGTTCCGTTCTGGCCCAATCAGTCTAATTTGAGCTACCGTGTGCTGAGCCCATCTTTGAAGCTTGGTGAAAAGGTCACTACAATCAGTGGAGGACAGGAACATGTGCTGCTTCTCACAAGCTCTGGTCGAGTCTTCTCTGCGGCGTCATCCACCGAAAACTACCCTTCACTCGGTCAACTCGGTGTGCAGGGACTTACCTGGTCCACCAGACCCAAGGGCCCAGCAGATGCCTGTCATGAAATTACAGCCCTCAAAGGCTCTAAAATTGTTCAGATTGCTTGTGGCGACTACCACTCGCTGGCGCTAAGCAAAGATGGCCGTATGTTCGGCTTCGGTGACAACTCACTTGGCCAATTGGGTGTTGATTTTGAACCCGAGAGGCCTTTCAAGGATGCTCCTTTCCTTATGAAAGTTCACAAATTATATAGAAGAAACCTCTATCTGCCCAAGGTTACCAACATTGCTGCTGGTGGTGCCAACACCTTCTTCTCCGTCGATTCCAAGCGCATTCTGGGGCACGAAGAAGAGGCTGCCAATGTTCACGATCTTGGACATGTAACCGCAGACACATGGGCTTGCGGTAGGGGAATCTGGGGTACTCTCGGCAATGGCAGATGGGTTCACCTGCAGGATTCGCCCACCAAGGTGAAAGCTCTAAGTGGTATGAGCGAGTATGACGAGAAGACAAAGCAGATGACCCCTATTCGCATTAGGGCTATGTCTGTCGGTACAACACATGTCTCTGCTATTTTGGACAACAAGACCAATGTCAGCAAGACTACCAAGGACTCTTTGGATCAATCTGAAGACTGGGGCTATGATGTACTCTGGTGGGGAGGCAACGAGCATTTCCAGCTTGGAACAGGAAGGCGAAGCAACCAGTCCAAGCCAACTTACATCAAGGCACCACCAGAAAACAAGAAAACCCAGGCTGAGGCGCGATTGCAGATCATGCCTCGTCACAAGGGCAAGGTCGGGAAGCGCAATGTGAGCATGGAACAGCGTGTTGAATGCGGGCGCCATGTCTCTGCCATTTATTCTGCGGTGTAAAAGTTACAAAATGAAACCTGTATATTAGTGATGCCATATGAAATCCAATTATAATTTGCTCGACTCAAAATAATCGGCCTGTTGTTTTGGTCTTATATGTTGTAGAATGGCCGCGGTTGCAAACAGACCAAACACTTATCACCGCGGAGACGCTTGGACCACCGCTTATCCAAAAAATTTCCAGCGCTTCAACTCCATCTTCCCTCACGACACACCGCCATAATGCCTCGTGAACAACAAAAGAGAGGCCGCAGGGCCGAAAAGAAAGCCCAAAAGGATGACTCCAAGAGAAAGTTCGAGGAAACCCCCGAAGAACCGGTCGCGAAGCGAATGAAGCCCTCTGCCGACGACGCCGACGAGACCAACGAGGCCAACGATGACATCCAAATTGCCGAAAATGAGGACTATATTCCCCTTGATCAGGGTGAAGAGCAGGAAGGCGAGCAACCTAATAACGATGGAGACATGGTTTTCTACGGTCTTCTAGACGAGGAGGAGTCCGAATACTTCCAGCGCGCCAACGAAATGCTGGAGCTCAACCAGTTCCAGGATGCCGAAGAGCGCAGCTTGTTCGTCGACAGTGTGTACTCGGAAGCCAGTGGCAAGGAATTGAAGATTGCCTGCAGTCAGGGCTGTTCGAGACTCATGGAGAAATTGATCTCAATGTCAGACGCTCGTCAACTGCGCCGGATATTCAGCAAATTTATCGGTCACTTCCTCCACCTAGTGCAGCATCGCTTCGCCAGTCATTGTTGTGAGACACTTTTCATTCACGCTGCGCCTGCCGTCATGCAGAAGACGAAATCTCAACCCAAAAAGTCGGACGAAGAAGCAGAGGAAGAGCCGGAACTGTCCCTCGCAGAAATGTTCATGGCCGTTATTGAGGAATTGAAAGAAAATTGGGGTTATCTGTTGACGGAGCGATTTGCGTCGCACACAATCCGAGTGTTACTGTTGGTTCTCGCAGGCGAGCCGGTTGATGTCACGTCAAATGAGTCGTTTGTCGCGAGTCGCAAGAAGGAAAGACTTGAAATTCCGACGGTTCAGGGCGAGGAGAAGGCAGGCAAATCGAAAGCCGAGAAACACGCTGTTCCAGAGGCGTTTGAGCCGGCACTCAAGAAGATCATGACCGACATGGTTGCCGGTCTCGATGATGTTTATCTCCGAGCTCTAGCTACTCATCCAGTTGGAAATCCTGTGCTTCAAGTGCTGTTGTTCCTGGAGCTTTCGCATTTCGGAAAGTCCAGCGCCAAAGATCCTAAGTCGACCATCCGAAGACTGGTTCCCGATGAATCGTTTGAGGAAGAATCCGAAAGCGCGGTTTTTATTCGTGGTCTACTATACGACCCAGTTGGTTCTCGCCTGTTGGAGACTATGGTGCGATACCTTCCTGGTAAATCATTCAAAAACCTTTACAAGAACAACTTGGGTGACCGAATCGGTTCCCTCTCTCGCAACAGCACTGCTGGATATGTGGTTCTTCGGATGCTGGAAAGACTCGGCAAGGATGACTTGAAGATTGCCTTGACCAACATTATCCCCGAAGTTCCAGGCCTGATTGAACGGTCGAGACTCATTGTCCCTAAAATGTTGATCGAGCGGTGTGTGATCCGTGGCGTTGACACGAAGCCTCTTGCCGAAGCACTCGAGGGCGCTTATAGCCAGGATCCTGTTATCAGGCTGCAGCAGATGCTCATTTTCAACCCCTCTGAGAACAAAGCCCCGCAATCCGAAGACCATGATATGGACGAGGACAACGACGGAAAGGAGCGCAAGCCACGAGGCCCACCCCCGGTATCTGCAGCCGAGAAAGCAGAGAAACTGCATGGCTCTCTGCTGGTACAGGCTATGTTGACCGTTCCTGGCCCTCTTAGCCAACTTGTCTACACGAGTCTCCTCGCCCAATCATCCGAAACAATCGTACAACTTGCCCAAGAACCCACCTCTTCCCGCGTTCTCCAACAGGCCCTGACTTCCACAACCTCCACGCCTCAAATCCGGCGACAGCTCACCACGCGTTTCCAGGGCCACCTCACACCTCTTGCTTTGAGCAGCAGCGGGTCACACGTGGTGGATGCGCTCTGGACTGCAACCAAGGATATCTTCTTTGTCAAGGAGCGCATGGCGCAAGAACTCGAGCAGCATGAACAGGAGCTCCGCGATTCCTTTGTAGGCCGCGCAGTCTGGCGAAACTGGTCAATGGATCTCTTCAAGCGCCGCCGACGCGATTGGACTCACAAGGCCAAGGGCTTTGAGGAGCGAACCGAGGGCAATGAAGGCGCCGAACGTCCTAAGTCTAAACTTGAACAGGCCCGGGCCCGTTATGCAGCAGCCAAGGAAGCAGCAGATGCCGGCGCTACTGGTGCGAACCAGACTACGGTGGCTAGCAGGTGAGGAGGTACTGGTGATAAAATTACATATTGGACGAATTGCACATGTACTCATACAAAAAGGCGTTAAAGCATTCAATTGTTTTATTGCTTTATATTTCTATAACTTCCCTATGAATTGATATATCATATTCTAAAACACCTTGGAGATATTTTCTGATTCACTTTCCCCGGATGCTCGGGATCTATGACATTGACAGCCCCGATCCGGTGTGGTAGGTAATATAGTACTTCGTGAGAGGTGGTTTAATCTAGTGACAACCCGTTTCTCCCCTGTATCAGCTCTTGCTAATCGACATCGCCGTGCAAACTACCCATGTCCCACTCCAGGAACCTCTAACTATATGTTCGAAAAATAAGTTACATGAAGTTCACATATATCCAACATTCTTCAAACAAGTGTCACCTGGTCCTCCAAAAAAGACAAATCTACACTTGGGATACCCTGGGAATCCTCCCCAAAGAACTTGAACAACCGATCAGCCACCCATTCAGGATTTTCATCCAACACCCAATGGCCAGCCTTTGGCACTACATCAACTTGAAGGTCACTCGCCACCGACCCAAAGATTTGCTGCAACACATCCTCCGGCGCAAAACTCGCCTCGCCTCCAAGAGCCAACGCCGGCATTGGCAACGGGTGATCACCAAGTGACGCGGTGAAGAACGAAGCGTCTTGGGTAACCGTCGATACGGAGAATATGTTCAGCATGCTTCGCAGGAATCCCGGTTTCGAGATGGACGTTGCGTAGCGATTCAAATGGTCCTCACTGATAGCTTCGTTGCCGGCGTATGAAGCGTGCCAGAAGTACCAAGCTAGCATCTCCTTCTCGCGGCCTTGGATGAAGTATTGTGCTGCGTCCGGGACACTGAAGAAACCAAGCTGCCAATTCTCGTACAAGTCCCAGCCGATGACCCCGCCGGAGCTCGGAGTCCAGAACTCCTCGTATCCGAAGCCGGGAAGGGCATACTCAGAGAAGCCGATTCTCTTCACGGAAGAAGGATACTTGGCCGCAAACGCAGCTGCAATTCCAGAGCCCTTGTCGTGTGAGAAGATGTAGGTTGAGTTTATTTCCAGGAAGTCGAGTATTGCTTTGAAGTCATCGGCGTGTGCAGAGGCGGTATAGTTGCCGTCTGCTGGAATTAAAGAGTCGCCGGTGCCACGGTTGTCGGCACAAATCACGGTGTAGTTGTTAGCCAAGATGGAGGCGATGGCAGAGTAGGAGAGCTAGATTAGATATTCAGGAGTTAGCATGGATTTCTTCAGGACATAAGAATGTCGTAGCTTACACTATATTGAGGGTTTCCATGGATTAGGAGGACAGGAGGCCCAGTGCCATAATAGCGCATGTGAATGCTAACGTCTTCATTTACTTCAATGCGTTGATGAGGCCACGAGTCCCAGGAAGGGATGTCGGCGATGCAGATGCAGACAAGCTGAAGGATTGAGAGAAGAAACCCACGCATTTTTTTTTTTTTCGTTTTATGCGAGCAACAATGTTCAGACTGGAGATTTTAGACCATATAGAGTCCTAAGTGATGGTTTTATATATTCATCTTCATATCACTTTGTGTAAATATTACGTCAAATTCGCCCTTCGGCACTTTGTGAAGTCCAGCTTTTTGATAATTCGAATCAATTTGGGATGTTAAGAAGGGAGGGTTCTGTCTTTGTTTGATTTCTATCTACATATGTGTAGACTACATATATCTACCTATTGTAGGTATATGGTCACTAAAACAACCATAGTAACTTAAGGGTCCTACCTACGTAGTTCTTAGGGCTTCTCCTATCCCGTGTTCTATTAATCAACTGGATAGTTGTACTTCACTGACAATCATAGGGTTCCTTAACATCCTTGTCTACATATGATATATATAAGGAATCTAAATAAGACGTAATTATAAGTATATAGATATCAGAATCCTCAATATGAGTATTATACAGCTAAGTAGCTCCCGGCCTGAAGAGACGGATTGCGAAGGGGCATAACGGCCAAAGGTTAAATGCCTGAATTTGCCTGAATATTGTCTCATTTTATTCTGGCAGAAATTAAAATACCTGAATTACTATGACATAGACCTTAATAAGCAAAGTACCTAGGTAATAGATTTGAAAAATGAAGCTATTCCTACCATACAAATTTTTGTATACGTCTATTTCTAGGCGTTGAAGCTATTGCGACTGACAAAATATCTCTGCTGAAAAAGTGAAGTTATTCCTACTATACAAATCCTAGAACACTATTTTTTCTCGGCGTTAAAGCCTTTAACTACGTAATTGCCCCCCTCTTTTCTTCTTCTTATCCTCCCCTCTACTACCCCCGTACGCCTACTATAGCCGCCGCTCGAAGCTTCTCTTAAGATAATCTATACGTCCTTACATTTCTGTTGCTGATGCTGACCCTATTACTGTCGTAGCCGCAATTATACGGTCGGGTGCGGTATTTAACGCCGGGGATTTGAAGAAAGCGACGATTTGTGAGGTGGGAATAGCTTCAATTCGAGGGCTTATGCGGTTAGGGGCGGTGTTTAACGCCGGGGAATTGAAGAAGGCGACGATTTGTGAGGTAGGAATAGCTTCAATTTTGAGGAATTTATTATGGTATGTGGGAATAGATTCAATTTACAGTACACGGTATAGAGCGGTGGCAAAAGCGGTCTATAATTCAGGCAAATTCAGGCAAATTCAGGTATCAGGCCTGAAAATCCAGGCATGTGACCTTTGGCCGTTATGCCCCTTCGCAGACGGATGATGTCAGGCTCTACGGATTGTCGCCATCTCCGAGATCGCCGGGTGGACTTTTTTTGGTAAACACTGTTCTTTTTTTCCCCTTTCAATTGCGCCTTTAGCCCTGTTGGCTTTTCTATTTCTTTTTTCTATTTCTTCTGTACAGACTCGCTCCTGTCAATTGTATTTTTCTTTTTACATACTAGAACGTGGGAATCTGTACAAATGTCAGGCATTGCGCAGCCGAACCGCGCCGATGAAGTGCAAAGCGTGAGTCAACTCCATGTCGCAATGATCTGCACCCCGCCAGATCCTTTATTCGATATTTCTGATCCTAATACGACATGCTTAGCTTCTGAAAGCAGTAGAAGACCTTCTTATCCCCTTTATCCGATCCGCGGACGACAATCCCCACAGGTCCTCGACACAGAAGAATGGCACCAATGGCACCAATGGACACACTGGACTGGCTGGGACCTCATTGGTAGACTATAAGAAGCCCGAAGAGCTGCGGGATATCCTTCAGCTCGAGATCCCAGAGAAAGGCACCAAGCAGGCAGGCCTCATTGAGGTCTTGCAAAAGGTCCTGAAATACTCGGTCAACACCTGGCACCAGGGCTTTTTGGACAAGCTGTATGCGTCAACCAATGCGCCCGGCGTGGCAGCAGAGCTCATCCTCGCTACCTTGAACACCAACGTACACGTCTACCAAGTGTCGCCTGCGCTGACAGTCATTGAGAAATATACCGGCCAACGGTTGGCGAACCTCTTCGGGCTAAATGGTCCACGAGCAGGGGGTATTTCCGTGCAAGGCGGATCCGCATCGAACACCACCTCCATTGTCATTGCGCGCAACAACCTCTACCCTAGCACAAAAACAGACGGAAACGGCGGGTACAAGTTCGTGCTCTTCACGAGCGCGCACGGCCACTACAGCGTGGAAAAGGCGGCGCAAATGCTCGGATTCGGCAGCAGTGCCGTCTGGCCCGTTCCAATCGACAAAGTCGGCCGCATGATCCCAGCCGAGCTTGAGAAACTGGCTCAGAAGGCGCAGAGCGAAGGCCGCACGCCGTTCTATGTCAATGCCACCGCAGGCACAACCGTCATGGGCTCTTTCGACCCCTTCAACGAAATTGCAGCCATTTGCCAAAAATACAATATGTGGTTCCACATCGACGGGTCCTGGGGCGGCTCGTTCGTCTTCTCCCAGCGCCAGAAACATAAGCTAGCCGGCGCAGAGAAAGCAAACAGCATCGCCATTAACCCGCACAAAATGCTCGGCGTGCCGGTCACATGCTCGTATCTGCTGGCATCGGATATGCGCCAGTTCCACAAGGCCAACACCCTTCCCGCGGGATATCTATTCCACAACGAAGACGACGAACCCGCTGCCAACGGAAATGAGTTGGAAGTCGACTCCCCGGAAGTATGGGACCTAGCAGACCTCACTCTCCAATGTGGTCGACGTGCGGATTCCCTCAAGCTGTTTTTGGGGTGGACATACTACGGCAGCGAGGGCTACCAGCAGCAGATCGACTCGGCATGCGACATCGCTGCGCACTTGGCTAACACCATCGCGCAACATCCTGATTTCATTATTATTAGCGAGAACCCCCCGCCTTGTCTGCAGGTGTGCTTTTACTACGCCCCACGCAAAGAGTTCGTCTACCCGCGTGGCATTGTCTCGGATGAGACACAGCGCGCGAAGAATAACAGCAAGGTCACTGAGCAGGTGACGCATGCGATCGTGCCTAAGGGCTTCATGGTGGACTTTGCGCCTCCCAGTGGGGATGAGGATGCGGCTGGAAATGGGAAGTTCTTCCGGTGTGTGGTGAATGTCCAGACAACTGAGGAGACCGTCGATTCCCTCGTCCGCGCCATCGAGGAGGTGGGTCCTGGTATTATTGAGTCTTTGAAGGCGAGTAACTCGGCCGTTCCACAGAAGCGGCTTGGTGAGCGTGGACACGGCCCTGTTGTCCATCGCGTTTGAGCAGCAGGTGCGTGATTTGTTTTCTTTTGATTTACTTGCATATATAGAGTACAGCTTATGGACATGAGAGACGGGATACGACATACAAGATATCTGGTGCAGAATATAAGGATGTGTATCAATTTAACACCCTAAGAACAAGATGAGCCAAGCTCAAATGCAGAGGGTGTAAAGTAGTCGGCATAGTTTCAACACTATACTTACCTGAACAGTAGTAATAAATTATGGACGAGGAGAATAGCCTGGGTATAGAGTGATATCAAAGCCATCAACTGCTAATCTCGACCCTACGTTCCAACACGGAGCGAGCCTCAGCTTCCGATAGAGAGTCGATCTCTAATTCAGCAAGCACACCCCGTGCGCTTTCGTTGTCCCTAAATAGCCTCTTCTCCACGTCCCATAGCCTTAAAGGCACGTCTTCTTTTGCAGAGATGTCCCCTTGCTCAGCCGTACTCAAGCAAAGTATATGCAGTCCCTCACTGAGCCTTTTGATGGTCTGCAATGAGATTCCCGCCTGGCTAGACGCGCCAAGTGCAGAGTCCACAACGTGACACAGATGGTCGACATCGCTGGCAAGCTGGGCTGCTCCAGTCTCAGAAAAGGTGTGTTTGGTCAGGACGCTGTCCCAGATGTAGCTCTGAACTGACAACAGGAGCTGGCGCGAGACTCGTCGTAGAGGCGCAGTTCCCAGTGCGCGAGATAGGAAGGAGAGCTGCGTGGACAGGACACGCATTGCATGGGCGAGATCGGAAGTTGGTGAGAGGGGAGATGCCGTCGCTGTGGCAGAGGGGGTCGACAGCGTTGCCCATGTGGATACGCGAGAGTAGGGCTTCAGAGCGGCGAGTATATTAGAGGACAAGGTGGATGTGATGATAGTTTCCGAGCGAAGTCGGAGACGACGGTAGGCGGATGCCGTCTCATCGAAGAGAGCGCCATCGGATGAGGTCGCGGTGTGGGCGCCGTTGTTGTTGGCGACTGCGGGTGAGGTACGCGACGCTACTTCTGCGACAGACATGGTACCAGCGACGTTGCGACCGCTATCTCGGTTTTGTCGAACACGATCTTGAAGTTCGGACCAGAGCTCAACAAAGAACACATCGTTGCTCCAATCCTCCATCTTCTTTTCGAGGTATTCGGCACTCCCGAAAACCCTGCAAAGCCGCTCCAGCCCGGCGACACCCTCGACGCTGGCCTGCCCGTCGGCTCCCTGTACAGTACGTCCAAGCGTGGACGTCATCGCTAGATAGGCCTCAAGTGCAGAATAGAGGCGCTCATGGAACTGGTCGAAAATTGTGATTTGAATGTCGATGAGGAACCGCAGCTTCTGACTAAAAGATGACAGGGGCTGATAGCGCTCGGTTATGGTTTCGAGAAGGTCATTCACACGAATTGCAGCTTTTGTTGGTTTCGTTGCAGTGAGCTCCATGCCATCGTAATCGATTTCTCCACTGTCTGTGGTGTCGATGATATCCTTGTATCGCGCCAACGCAAAGTCCTTCTCAACTTCAAGCCATCGATCATACCAGCCCTGTTTGGTCAATACATCCCAGGTCACGCCCTTCCAATTGTCGTCCGCATATGGATCTGGCATATAGGTCCAGGTTTCTCGGATCTCGTTATCAAAGTTCATCAGTTCATGAATGAAATGGCTGAGCAATTGGGGGTAGTTTGAGATTTGAGGGAGGAGCAGGCTGATCTTGTGTCTCAGCATAGGAAGCAATGCAGTAATGTAACTGTGCGATGCAT